CAGTAGAATTTCAGCAACATATTGGGAGGTCTTTAAATTATGGTGCAAGTCATGTAGGTTTGATTCTGATTTCAGAATTTCTTCTTTCCATCCAGTCCTGCCTGTGTAGTATAACGGCACTACAATAATGAAATATAAACAACGGTATAAATAAGTAAGTACCGAGAAGAGCAGCCGCTTCATCATATCGTCCTTCTCTTCTGAGTTGTCTTTCCTTCAGCTTAAGCTCCATCAGACGGCGTTGCCGCTCCTTCTCCGAGAGGCGATTCCACTCCGCTTCTCCCATCTGAGGACGCGTAAGTATGGTACAGAATATTTCACACAAGTGGGGACATTTTTGGGAGAAGCTCTCAAGCCAATATAACTTCCATATCATCTTAAAATGAATTTCCGCAGCACATATGAAACTCCCAGCCTGAATTTGCAATGAAGTATCATCAGTGCTATCCCATATTTCCCAATCTTTGGGATTTTTCAAAGTGACTCACAGTTAACATGTGGTCCACACAAGTTATGCATGACAATTCCAATGAAAGGTTTTGATAAGATTCTCAGTACACAATTTTTTAAAATGCTAAGGGTTTTGATTCTATTCTTATTTGCCGATTTGGTAAATTAATGCCCTGACTACACAGCCTTTAAGATCATTAGTTCATCAACTTCTTCATAATGACTGAACGTACTGACTCCCAACTGTCAGGCCTGCTTACTTACTTACTTACTTACTACCCATTACGCCATCTGGCGTTTAGGGCAGCAACAAAGGATCTCCAGCTCTGTCTGTTTTGGGCCATCTTGGTCAGCGTTCCCCATGAATGATTCCAGAACTTCATTTCAGACTCTACTGTGCGTCTCCAGGTCACTTTAGGTCTGCCCCTTTTGCGACATCCTTCGGGTGTCCAGTGGAGGGCAGTCTTCACAATAGAGTCTGGTTCTCTTCTCAGAACATGTCCAATCCATCTCCACCTTCTCCTTTTTATTATGGTTGTCATGTCCTCTTGCCTACATTTACATAACAGATCTGCGTTGGCAGGCCTGCTTACCTATCTTATTAAACATAACACAGAAGTCTTGAAATACATAGAGAAAGATTTGATATTTTTCACATCTTGCAGCTAGAGATCTCTTCTCACCTCATTGATCAGAGCCTGGATCAACAGCTGATCTCTGAGGGCATCATATTTCCCATCCACAGCTTCCTCCAGTAGTCCGTCTTGGTTCAGAGAGTCAGCCGAGTCATGACCTTCAGCAGTGAAGACCACATCAGCAATGTTGATCGCATGACTCTGGGTCAGCTCAGCGGCTATTGCTTGCTGGTTTTCTATCAAGTCCTCATTGCTCTAAACAGGTGAAGTGGCATATAAAACTATTACCAATACTGGTATTACTAGGTCAGTCCGTGCAGACATTTAAAAAATTAGTTATAGAAAAAATCTATTTAAAAAAAAAAAAAAAGCAAAGCAAATTAGTGTTACTCAATATCCTTAAGTTTTCACTGGTCCATTTTTTAAGTCTTTTGAACAAAAAATACTTGAGTTGTGTACATAATACAATCTATGAAACTACTCTTTCAAGGCAATATTTATATACTTTCTTATGTTCTTTCACTTACTTAATTTCAAAAGTTAATTTGTACAATCAAAATGAAGACTTTAAACACTGGTGGTATCAAAGTCAGGATTTGCAATATTATTTCAGAGACGTCTGCATAACATTACTCACTTTTTATCTGAGAACGTTTTTGCCGTATCATTTTAAAGTCATTATTTTAAGGCTATTGCTCTATTTTAACATTTTAAAAATCATACTCAAAGTCATTAAAAAGGATCTACTCCCTGAGCCAACTATTGAAGTTTCTCTTTACAGTCTTCAAACATAACGAGAAAGGAGTAACAGCTGACCTCAGCAGAGAACGCTCCGAGGTAAATCTCTGCTTCAACAAGCTGGGTCTTGAGGAGATCAGCCATGAGAGACACGTTGACCTCACTGTCCCCCACTTCACCAGATGAACTCTGACCTGAGAGGTGACAGCGACGCATCTCTCTCTTCACAGTCACTGCCTCCTCCAGAATTGTCTGATGCTCTGATGAGGC